GAGATATTTCACATTGTTTTCTAATTTTTCATTCTTTTGGATTTGTTTACTGTGTCTGATTTCTCATAAAGTCACTGTCTTCCAATTGCTCTATTCTAATTTTTAAGGAAGTATTTTCTTCAGTAATCTTTTGGACTTCCTTTTCCATGTGGCCAGTTTTTCTTTTCAGGGCATTTTTCTCCTCATTGGCTTTTTGGACCTCTTTTGCTATTTGGGTTAGGCTATTTTTTAAGGTGTTATTTTCTTCAGTATTTTTTTGGGTCTCCTTTAGCAAGCTGTTGACTTGATTTTCGTGATTTTCTTGCATTGCTCTCAGTTTTTCCTCTACTTCCCTTACTTTCTTCTCAAGGTCCCTTTTGAGCTCTTCCAAGGCCTGCGACTGATTGATATTTTTCTTGGAGGCTTTGGATGTAGGAGCTTTGACTTTGTTGTCTTCTTCTGGTTGTATATTCTGATCTTCTTTTTCACCAAAGTAAGATTCTATGGTCTAACTCTTTTTGCTCTGCTTGCTCATGATCCCAGCCAATTACTTGAGTTTTAAACTCTTTGTTAAGGTAAGAGTCTGCTTCCAATGTGGAGAGTGTACTGTCCCAGGCTTCAGGGGTTTGTGTAGCTGTTTTCAGAGACACTTGTACGGACCTGTAAATTTTCAGTTCTTCCAAGGTGGTATGATAAGGGGCCGGGTGTTTCCTCCTTTCCTGGCCTGTGACCACAAGTATTCCTTTCTGTCCCATAACTGTGAGGAGGGGTTCCTCTCCACAGCCACTCCAGCTCTACCATGCCAGCGCTCCTCCTCAGCCCAGCACCGCCGCCCAGAACTGTGACCCAGATCCACACATGGGCAAAGCAAGAGATTCCTGCCTCAGCACTGGCAAAGAGATCCCTGCAATCCCTCTCTGATCAGCCATTGGATTCCCCCTCAGTCTGTGGGCTGGAAGTAGCTGCTCTGCCCAGGGCCATGCTCTTGGGGAATGGAGCTGAGGCCCCGCCTTCTTCCGACAGAAACAGACTCTTCCCACTGACCTTCTAAGTTGTCTTTGGCGTTGGTGGATTGAGGAGTCTGGAAACCTCCACAGCTGCCTGAGATTCAGTCCCCTGAGGCCGGCTCCAGGCTTGCTGCGCCCTGCGCGACCATGCCGTGCTGCCGTATAGAGGGTTTCACGGTGTTGGATTCTGTTGCTCATTTTCAGTGTTGCATCAGTTAAACACTACTTTAAAAGAGAGAGGCACCTCATGCTCTCAGTTACCTGACCCTAGGGCATCTGGGCAGGCTCCCTCCCTTCCTTAAAGGGTGTGGGCTTGACCTCTCATTCCTCTTGTAGCTCCCAGTGTAAAATCCCCTGACTTGTAGCTTCGTGCTGTAATGTGTGTGTCACTGAGTTGGCTTCTGTGACCCCAAGCTGACCTTTGCACCCCGAAGGTCCTTGATGGTGTGAGCAGCCTGGGCGCTCTGCTCTTGTCCCTGCAGAGGACTGGGAGGGAAGCTTGCTGTACCCACAGCAAAATGGGAAGGAACAGCTCTAACGGTGCCGTCGTGGGGAGTGGTCAAACGTCCCGCACTCGATGTCTTTTCAGGCTTCTCTGCACACTTGGACTTCGGGACAAACTGGCCTAGTCATTGCTCTGTCTCTCACCTTCCTGTCTTTTCATCCCTGCCTTGGAGAATCCCGAGCTTCCTTCAGAGCTCATTTCAGGCCTTCTCTTACAGGAAGCCTTCCCTCTGGTGATGTCTCTAATGAACCTTGCACTGCTCTCTCCTGGTTCTCCTGACTCTGACTGCTCCTTCTCTGTCTCCTTAGTTTGCTTTTCATCCAGATCATGCCTCCTTAGTGCAGGTGTCCCCCAGGCTCTGCCCTAGGCCCTCTCCTTTTCTCTTTCCCCTCTGTCCTGTTTGACTCAGTCAACTTGTCAGCTTCTGTGGTTTCAGTGATCTTCTCTGAAGATTCTTCTTGTCCAGCCCTAGCCTCTCTGCCCACCCCTGGTCTTACATCTCTGTAAGTCTGTGGTCTTACATCTTACAGCTGCCTTTCAGACATCTCTAACTGGACGTCGTGTCCAAAACTGAACTCATGATCTTACCTGACAACCCTCTGCTCTCTCAGGGCATCCCAGACTCCCAGTCACCCAGGCTCACAAACCAGGTGTCACCATTGACTTCTTACTCTTAGCCATCCCCCCTGTATCCAGGTAGTGGTCAAGTCTTGTTTTCACCGAATATATGCCCTTTTCTCTCCCCTGACACTCCTCTCCCATTTCCCCTCTCTGGTCCCCCCCAGGTGCAGGCCCTCATCCCCTCTTGCCTGCACTGTTGCAGTAGCTGGGTGGGGGGCAAGGTCCTGCCTGCCTGGAGTCTCTCCCACTTCTGTCCTCCACTAAGTGGCCACGTTGTTCTTCCTAAAGTGCTGGTCTGATCGTGTCCCTCCCTGACTTAGTGAACTCCAGTAAGGTTCCCTGTTACAGGGTCAGACAAAAGTCCTCTCGTGGTCCGAAGCCCTTCCTGCGTTTACAGTTTTCTATTTGGAGCTCCAGTCCCCTGCAGATACCCTGCCGTCCAGTGATTCTAGTCTCCTTATTGTTTCTCGCGTAAGACGCTCCCTTGTCCCGTCTCCTGGCCTTGTTTCTGATTGCCTCTGATGCCTGGTGCTCTGTCCCTCCCATCTCTGCCCCTCCCATCTCTGCCCCCTGGCTTCCCTGGCTTCCTCAGAACCTCAGTTACAGACCTAGCTTGTGCCGGAAGCCTTTCTTATCCTCTCTAATCTGCGTGCTTTCTCTCTGGAAAGGCCTGTTTGGGCCTTTCTTTGTCTCCCTAGCACTTGGTGCAATGCTGACTGACTGACCACTTCTGAGTGTTCTCTTCCCCAGCAGATGTCACTTGATTTTTTCCGTGTTACCTATTCTCGATAAACCCTCTGCCCCCAAGGCCCAGCACCTGAGCTGTAGAAGGCACTTGAATGGTAGTTGGACCTGGTTGAGTCACTCTAACAAAGACTCGTTACTGTGGCATTTTGATTTGTATATTTTCCATACCATCCACCGTGCTCTACTTGTCCTCAAATTTAGAAAGGAATTACAAGGAAAAAAACCCAGTGTTTTCAAAGATGGGTAATTTTTTAATAGCTTGTAATATTGTTTCTATGAAGGTATAGCAAATGAATCTAAAAAATTGTATGGAGTACAGTTCCACCCTGAGGTTGGCCTTACGGAAAACGGGAAGGTGATCCTGAAGAATTTTCTGTATGATATTGCTGGCTGCAGTGGGACCTTCACTGTGCAGAACCGAGAACTTGAGTGCCTTCGAGAGATCAAAGAGCGAGTGGGGACGTCCAAGGTTCTGGTGAGCACCTTACGAGATGGGGCTGATATTCTTCTCTTTCTCATCAGATTCTATAAAATTCATTATTTGCAAGTGAGACAGTTATCCTTACTTAATCTTTGTTGTTCCAAACTTTTTTCATCTTGTACTTTTTATCAGTAAAAAATTTTGAATACACGCCTTCTAAATTTGTGTATTTACTTAATCCGCATATGACTACTCTAATTATGTAGGTTGTACAATTTACAGAAAAAATGGAAATTTTTAAAAGATAAGATAAAAATACAGTGCTATTTGAGCCTAAAGGCAGTAGGGAATCAGTGGAGTTTATGGGATAAACAAATGATGGGGTCAGACCTGGGCCAGGGAAATCAGCTCATTTGGGCAGCTGTGGAGGATGGGTGGGGTGGCAGGGAGACTCAGCTGCAGTAGGTGAGAGGCCTGGGGCAGCGTCTGCGTGAGAGAGATGGTGTGATGGTAATCCAGTGGAGACGTGGACTGAGGCAAAAAGAAGCAGCAAACCAAGGCCACTGGACGGATGGTGGTACCCTTGATAGGAAGAGGGAAGTTTGGGAATGATGGGTTTGAGGAAAAGGGAGAGTGCTACTCAGAGTTCCCCACTAAAAGATGGAAAGTGGGTGGGGGAAACAGCTCATCCACTGACTTCTTTCTGCCTTGGGGTGTTGAGCCTCATGGGCAGTGAAGGAGGGCCAAGGAGCCTCTCCAGCTGCTGCTGGTACCTGAATCGCATGTGGGAAGTCATCGGTGGACCAGGTGGGCTAGGGCAGGACTGAAGGCTGGGGATAGTTATGTTGAAGAGGATTCCAGATTCCTCTGGGTGAGATGGGACCCTGCTTCCCATCCCCTGGTCGATCATATATCCGTGTAGCTGGGAGCCCGGGCTCTACCTTTGGAGACTGCCGGTCTACAGGAGCAGATCCTTGATAACACTTCTCCATGGAGTTGTTTCAGAGTGTTCTCATTGGGCCGCCTAAAGCTAGTTACTGGTTATGGTGAAGAGTGAGGGATTAAGAAATGCTTTGAGGCAAGTGCAGTTTGCCTTGGTGCGGTGCTAGTTTTCAGCCCCTCTTCATACATTGTTGAGGCAGGTCCATTTTTCCCACTCTCGTGTCCTTCCTCTTCAGGTCTTACTCAGTGGTGGCGTCGACTCAACAGTTTGTACAGCTCTGTTGAATCGGGCTTTGGATCAAGATCAAGTCATTGCTGTGCATATAGATAATGGCTTTATGAGGAAGAGGGAGAGCCAGTCTGTGGAAGAAGCCCTCAAAAAACTTGGGATTCAGGTCAAAGGTATGGCTAACCAGCGCGCGTTCAGGCAGAGGCGGGTCCCCTTTAGCGTATATCGTGTCTGCCTTATTAAACAAAGTCATCCTTTCCCTGGCTTCCTTTAAGTCCCAGTAAAAGTACTGTCTTTTGCTGGAACCCTTTCCGAGCCTCTTTTCATTGAGTGCCTTCTCTTTGTTAATTATTTCTTGTTTATCTTGTAGAAGCTTGTTTGTATATCGTTGTTTGCTTATTGCTCCCCCGTGAGATTGTGAGCTCCTTGAGGGCAGGGACTGTCTTTTGCCTCTTTTTGTGTCCCCTGGCCTTAGCACAGTACCTCAGCATAGTAGGCCCTCAATACGTGTTCATTGATTGATTCGTTTTAGGATCTTCTTAAAACTCATAATTACTTAGATATAGGAGATTACTATGTTCTTGATAATGATCTTCGAGCTCATCTTTTAACATCAACCCTGGGGATAGTCTTCAAAAACATTAGTTGTGCAAGAATTATTATTAAGCCAACAAATTTGTGTTTACCCAGTTTGAATTTAATGGCATCACATTTCTTTTGCCTTCTTGTTTATCCTCCTCATTTGTAATTCTGTAATTTCTCTTATGTTGTTTTCCATCTTTCTTACTGGTACCATATTAGGACAGGAGAACCCAAGGATGGTGGTAGAATAAAGGCAGGCCAGCCTGTCCTTTCTGTCTTTGTTAGAGATAGATTGCAATCCTTAGATATTTATGGGGCTGTGGTAGAGAGACCCTTGGCTTTTCATTTAGTTAGTTAAAGTCAATAGTTAATGACAAGCTGTATTTGCTCTTCAGTCAGCTGGGATGGGTGGACGGTTGCCCAGTGTGAGCAGATGGGAAATGGGCGTAAGTTCTTAGGAAGCTCCAGTTGTGGGCCAGTGGTGATGCTTGGTGCTGGCAACACCAGTGCTGCAGGTTGAGCTTGGCGTTCTCTCACGGGTGCCGTGAGCCTGTGTAAGTGAAGGGCTGTTGTGACGGGGAGGATCAAAGGAGGTAATATCTATATAAAGCCTCTTTCAGACCTTAAAGTGCTGTAGGAATGAATGAATGAATGAATGAATGAATGAATGAATGAATGAATGCAAAGCAAGACAGGCTCTGCCCTCCGCTGGGGGAGATAACACACAGGGAAGTTTTCAGCTGCAAGTCCAGCGGAAAGGTTCCGTGGTTCTTAGGGTGATACTAGCAGTGGGTGGGGGGGAGCCATGAGTCAGTCAATCAAGGAAAGGAGGGCTTGTGAGAGGAGAGAGTGAAGGAGAAGTTCATGTTGAGCATGAGGTTTAAGCCCTTACAAAGAGGGAAGTGGGAGGTACAGTGTCCTGTATGAGGAGAGGCAAGAAGTCTGCAGAATACGGGACGGATGAAAATTTGTGATAGGAGTGGGGCCCGGGCCCACCATAACCTTGGCTCGGTGCCATAACCTTGGCTCGGTGCCACCGTCTTTCCACTTTCTCTGTGCCTGCACGTGTGCTGCTGGTCTCTGAGCCTGGCAGGGCAGCCCTTTCAGCCCTCCTCAATTGGTTCTCTGTGAGAATCAAGGGTCGGTTCATGAAGACCAGTATTTCAGGTCTAAGTGGATGACCTGGACGAGGAGTGCCATGGATTGGTGGGTGATGTTCTCTGGGCACCCCGCCACTCAGGACTGCCTTGGATCCCTGGTCCTCTCTGTAGTTCTGGCTGTGCCAAGGACTGGATTCTAGGCAGAGAGACGAGGTGGAACCTTGCTTTTCTGGGGCTGGGCTAAGGGGGATGCCATGGAATCCTTACAGAAAATCTCACCGTCCTTTGTTCTCAAGAACAGATGTGACTCATGAATTGCTTTAAGGGAATACCAGCCATTCTGGAAAATGTGAAAGACCCTGAGAGTTTGGGAGGATGGCTTATTCAGGCTTTGATAGTTCTTTTAAAAATGCCCGTGTTTGTCCCACAGTGGTCAATGCCGCTCATTCTTTCTACAACGGCACGACAACTTTACCAATATCTGAGGAAGACAGGACTCCCCGAAAAAGGATCAGCAAAACGTTGAACATGACCACAAGTCCTGAGGAAAAAAGAAAGATCATTGGAGACACCTTTGTGAAGGTACTTTCCTAGTTATGTCCAACATGGCGGTTGTGCACGAATTCTACTTGAGAATGACATTCTGTAGTGCTTGTTGGTGGCGCCGACGCTACTTTAGAGATATCACACACCTGTTAAGAGGCACCGTTGTCCAGAAGTGAGCTGCTCTGCTGTGAGGGTTGGACAGCCCTCGGGGACTGTGGGGAGGACCTCCGGGTGGGGGATGGACTTGGTGTCTCTCAGGACCCTTTCAGCTCTTAGATTCTGGGATTCTCCGAGAGGCGAGTCGCTAGTTGGCTGGGCCTCAGTTTGCTCATCTGTAAAGTGAGGGCATGTGACTGTGATTGTTGCACTCACTCTCTGAATCTAGGATTCTGAGTATTTAGCACTCAATCACAGTATGAGTGAAATTTCATCATCAAGTTTTTCTAACACAGCCCTGGGAAAGTGCTTCTTAATACACAACTGTTTTATTTTCTGTCATTGTTGTGAAGTTAGAAGTTGCTGGATTTTTCAAGTAAGTCCTGATGGAACCCCCTAATCCTTCATACCTGCTTACTGAATTGAGTATTAGCCCACAGAAGTTGTGACTGGAATGATAAATCTAAGAAAAACGAATAGAGTTCAAAGCCAGTCTCCATAATTTTTGGATATTAATGCTTTGCTTCATGACAGGTGGTCTTGGGAATTCATGATGTGGTTAGTTGAGTTTCTTTCCCCCTCTGAAAAGGAAGACTTGCACTCGTATCCCCGAGGCTTACTAGTCACGCTTGAAAACCGTGTTCTGCTTGCCTGACCAGTGGGCTCTGATGCCATCAGTTCATTCTGGTGTATTTTTTCTCCTTGGTTGAGAATATAAAGGCTTTGTAAGAAAAGCACCTGTTGAGTTCAGAGAGCTGCCTCTGAGAACAAGAGAGGGAGAGGTGAATATTGTAGGAGTGCTCAGTCTGATGCTGTGAGAGAGGCTGAGCAGCCCCGAGCCAAGCCTGTCAGCAGTCAGACCGGACTGCTCCAAGGTTATAAGAGAGGAAAGAAAGAGGCAGCTCTTAGGCCGTGGCTGCTGCTCGCAGGGCCCTTCCTCGCCGGCTGCTTCGATAAGGGATAGAAAAGCTGACCGGTTTGTAAAAAGGCTCAGCCTTTCAAGGTGAGAGCTGCCTCCTTTGCCCAGGCTTCAGTCAGTCAATCAGTCAGCAAACATTTATTGAGTGCCTGCTATGTGCCAGACACCGTCCTGAGCACTTTTCAGTTTTACCTCTGAATTAGTAGGTAGCTCTTCCTTCGGTGGCAGCGAGGGAGCTCCTGCTAAACAGTGTGCCTAGAAGGCTGGAGGAGCAGCCCACCTCCTGTTCATACGTCCTGCTTTCCTGCCTGAGGTGCAGGTGCTGCTGGAGGAGGAAGAGGCATCTTGCTTGCTGAAGCATTTGTCAGTGGGCGTCAGTTTCATGGTGTGGTAGTGGGAAGAATGAGTGGGATCAGTGAGACTTTAGTAGGGAAGAAGAATGCTTCTGTTTTCTGGCCTGACAGGACGGATGGGCCTAGCGTTATGCTGCTCGTGTACATTGGGCTGACTCTGCAGCAGACGGATCTCCATGTGCTTGAGCCTTGTGTCTGTTCTCGTGGTTGCAGATTGCCAATGAAGTCATTGGAGAGATGAACCTGAAACCAGAGGAGGTTTTCCTTGCCCAGGGAACACTAAGGCCCGATCTCATTGAAAGCGCATCCCTTGTTGCAAGCGGCAAAGCTGAGGTCATCAAAACACATCATAACGATACAGAACTCATCAGAAAACTGAGAGAGGAGGTAAGCAGACGAGACCAGTGAGGCAGTCATGCGCAGTGCTTTTGTTCAGAAGGGGGTCACACCAGGGAACTCGAGTGCATTGGTACAAATTTATCCCCACCCTGGGAAAAGCTCAGGGGTATGCCCTGCTCATGAGGGGGTCAGCAGCGCCAGCTTCGCCTGGGAGATGCCAGGCTGTCAAATACCAGGCGCCACAGTGGGGAGAAAGAGCCCTGGACTGAGAGGCCGAAGGCCCAGGTCCAGGCCCAGGCCTCAGCTCTGCCTCTTAGTGTGGTAATTGTGTGACTTTAAGTAGCTTTGACCTCCATGAGCCTAGGGTCATTTCTGGATCCCTTTCAGTTCTAATATAGGATCCTATTATTTCTGGCAACATTTGCTAATGAAAAGACTACTTTGGTTGCAAAAAAAAAAGTTTGTCTTTTTTAAGATTCAGTTTAATTTTATTTTCAGTTCCATGTTCTTTTCCCCTCCCCCACTCATTGAGGAAGTAAGAAAAACAGAACCCTTTACAGATAATGTATAATGAAGCAAAGCAAATTCCCATATTTGCTTTGTCCCAAAAAATGCTTCAGTGAGCACCCTTGAGTTCATTAATCCTTTCTGTCTGGAGGTGAGAGCATGCTTTATCATGAATCCTTTGGAGTCATGGTTGATCGTTTTGTTAATCGGAGTTCTTAAGTCTTTCAAAGTTGTTCCTCTTTACAGTATTGTTTTGTCTAAGTTGTTCTCCTGGTTCTGCTCACTGCAGTTCACATCAGTTCATACAAGTCTTTCCAGGGTTCTCTCAAAGCATCTCCTTCATCTTTTCTTCTAGCACAGGAGTATTTCGTCATATTCATATACCACAGCTTGTTCAGCCATTCCGAAATTAATGGGTATCCTCTCATTTTCCAATTCTTTGCTACCACAGGAAGAGCTGCCAAATGTTTTTTAACATATGAGAAATGTTTTTATATGTATGTAGAATTTTTGTGTAGATATGGGTACTTTCCTCCTTTCTTTGCTCTCTTTTGAGTATAGACCTAGTGTTACCACTGGATTAAAGGGTATGCACAGTCTAGTAGCTTTTTGGCCTAGTTTGAAATTGCTTTCCTGAATGGTTGAACTGGTTTACAGATCCACCAACAATGCTTTAGTATACCTGTTTTCCCATAGCCCCTCTAGCATTTGTCATTTTCCTGTTTTGTCAACTTTGCCAATCTCTTGGGTAGAAGTTGTTTTAATTAGAGTTGTTTTAATTTTTCATTTCTCTAATTATTAATGATTTAGAGCACCTTTTCATGTGGGTATTGATAGCCTATATTTCTTCCTCTGAAAACTGCCTATTCTTGTATTTGCCAGTTGGGGAATGACTCAAATTCTTATAAATTTGGCTGGATTTACTTCTTTCTTGATACACTGTCCAGGACCTTCCTACCTGGGAACACTCCTATGGTTGCACGTCTCCTCGGTATCTTTTGAATTTGTGACTCAGAACCAGGGAGTGCACACCAAATCTGCCGGTGGGCATCTGTTCCTGCACACAGTGCCTGGTATTGATTTGGGATCTCCTCTTGTCCTGGTGCGCACCCTCTCCCTGGGAGCTGGTGTGCTTCTGGCCAGTCCCCATCCCCAGTGTTTGTGGACCTTTAAGTTTCTCACCCTATGTTGACCTCAGCTAGAAAAACAACTCATTGACTTTTTTCTTGGATTTTCCCCGTCAGAATTTGGTCTAGTGTGTTTCCTAGATCTGCCTTGAATAATTGATGCAGAGGGGAAGCTTGCTATGACTGTGCCATCTTGCCTGTCTAATTTATTTATGATGTTAACCTCTATGTCTAAATTATGCGCTTATTTGGAGCTTGCTGTGCTCTGCGAGATGTTGGTCTGTGCCTATTTTCTGCCTGTTTACCCAGTTTTACAGCTTTCTCAGCAGTTTTTATTGAGTAGTGAGTTCTTTCCCCAGTAGCTATGATCTTTGGGTTTCTCAATGCTAGTTTGATGTGCTCACTTGCTTACGTGTATTCTGTACCTAGTCTCCTGTGATTAACCTTTCTATTTCTTACACAGTACCACATTGTTTCAATGATTATGGCTTTGCAGTATAATTTGAGAGCTGGCACTACTACTCTTTCTTCTCACTTTTTTAAAAATTGATTCTCTTGATATTCTTGACCTTTTGTTTCTCCTGTTGGATTTTATTTATTTATTTTAGCTCTGTAAAGTAGTCCTTTGGCAATTTGGTTGGGATGGTACTGAATAAGTGAATTTAGGCAGTGTCACCCTTTTTTATTATATTGACTTGGCCCACCCAAGAGCAATTCATACTTCTGTAGTTATTTATGTTTATCTTGATTTATGTAGAGAGTATTTTGTAATTGTTTTCATCTAGTTCTTGTGTATGTCTTGGCAGATAGACTCCCAAGTAGCTTATCCTGTGTGTAGCTATTTTAAATGGAAATTCTCTTTCACATTTTTCTTGGCAGTCTGTACACGGGCTGATGATTTGTGCAGGTGTCTTGCAGTTTTGGTGACGTTATTGTTTTAGTTTTATAGTTGACTTTCTAGGGTTCTCAGAGTAACCCATCATGTCATCTCCAAAAATTGATAATTTTGTTTCTTCTTGGTCTGTACTTATTCCTTCAAATTCTTTCTAATGTCTTATTTCTGCAGGTAGATTTTTTTTAGCACTATATTGAATAGTAATGGTGATAATGGACATCTGTGCCCTGGATTTTTTTTTCAAAGACCTTTAGTTTATCCCAGTTAAATGTAAATGTAAATGGCTCTTGGTTTTAGATACCTACTACTTGTCATTTTAAGAAAAAAAAGTTTAGAAAAAATGCAAAACCTTACCCAAGAAAATAACTCCCTGGAAATTAGAATTAATCTAATGACTGACTCCATAAGACATTAAAATATATTAAAAATAAAAACAGTGAAAAAATAGAAGATATGAGTCATCTCATAGCAAAAACTGACCTGAAAAACAGATTGAGAAGATATCACCTTAGTCATTAAAGATTTATTAAGCATCTACTATGTGCCAGGCACTATGCTGAGTGCTGGGGATATAGGAAGAGGCAAAAAACAGTCACTGTCCTCAATCTAATGGGGGAGTCAACAAGAAAACAAACATGGAAAGCAAGCTAAATACAGGATTAAGTCCCACATAATTAAAAGGATTGGAAAAGGCTTTTTGTAGAAGATAGGATTGATGAGATTTTAGCTGAGACCTGAAGGAAGTCAGGGAGGCCGAGAGGCAGAGATCTGGAGGGAGAGCCTTGCAGGCATGGGGGATAAGTCAGAGAAAATGCCCAGAGCTGAGAGATAGGAGGCTTAATACTTGACCTGAACTGCCAAACCTTTACTATTGGTCAGCTGTTTTTAACATGCTAGAGTTGAGCTCTGCGTCTCTGGAGGTCAGAGGCTGTTTTTTTTCTCTCTTTGTTCCAGTCTTTTGCCTGATGCAGTTTTACATACCATGATAAGTTAGTCTTGTTTTCAAAATATGAAATAAATCAGTGAGACATTAAAAAATGTCCCCTTAAATTTTTTTTTTTTGCTCAAGCAATTGGAGTTAAGTGACTTGCACAGGGTCACACAGCTAGTGTCAAGTGCCTGAGGCTGAATTTGAACTCAGGTCCTCCTGCCTCCAAGGCTGGTGCTCTATCCAGTACGCCACCTAAGCTGTCTCGTCCCTTAATTCTTCACCACCGCTAGGGAAAAAAGACCTGCTTTAACTTCAGTTTACATTACTATACCGTAGTAACACTTTTACCACACCCTTGTATTGGGTTTGTTTTTAAATAGAACCTTTTGGATTTTCACAGAGAGATGGAACATACTGAAGTACATTTCTGTGATCTGTCAAGCCTGATGTTTTACACTGAATATGTTGGAAAGTTGCTAAGTTGTTAGCATGTATCATGAAAATAAACTTTTAAAATGAACACAAAAGTATTGTCAGCTGTGTTTTAAAAAGGCAGTTTTCTCCCTGCCACCTTGCACTGTCACATCCAGTGTACAGGGGTTAGAGAGCTGGCTTCCGAATCAGGAATTCCTCAGCCTGCCTCTCCTCCATGCTGCCTCTGCTACCCTGGCCAAGTTGCTTAACCTCTCAGGGTGGTAGGCGGCTCCAAGGCTGGAGGTGGCACAGTAGTTGCTGATCTGCATTGGGGGGGGGTGAGGTTTCCTTACTGGTAATTAATTTCATTAATCATATTAATACAGTCTCCTTCCTACTTTCCTCCCCCCCAAAGATGAAAGAAGACCTTTTTTGCACAGATCTCCCAATGAGCATCCTGCTCTGGTCGCTTCACTGGCTCTTATTTCCTTGGCATAAAGGCCACTCTTTCCCTTGATATTGACCTGATCTTCCCATTGCCCCCCTTCATGTAGACTTGGCTCCCACCAGACCCTGCTGTTGTTTCCCACCTCCAGGTCTGTGTCTCTGGGGCACCAGTGCTGCTGCTCCCTCCCTGTCCCCTGCATCCAAAAACTTCCTTCCACACCTTCCCTGATACTGTTCTTCCTTTTGGGGTGTGGTTTTACTTCCTCCTACTTCATCCATTTCCCTTAGAAGTTAGGGTGGCATTGGGATTGGGCAGACCCCAACCTTGGGCCCATAGTCTCTGTGTTACCCTGCACATGTCACTGGGCCCCTCTCAGTTTTCTTCTGTAAAATGGTGATAATAATGGTACCCGCCTCACTGGCTTATGAGGATCAAGTGTGGTAATGTACATGATGTATTTTGTAAAGTATAAAGCACTTGGGATTATGAGCCCGGGTTACACTCTCCTGTTGGACTCTGCCGTTCTGTTATTATACAGTATGTCATGAGTGTGGCTTGTATTCCCTCTGCTCAAATTAAGTTTCATGAGGGCATGTATTGATCAGCTTTGAATCTTCCCCAGTGCCTCGAATAGTGCAGTGTTTGGAGAAGCAGCTTCAGAAGGAGCTGGCTTTCAAGGAAATATTTGTCATGCCCATACTGAGCAGGTACTTCGGAACATTTTTTTTCCCTCTAAAAACAATAAGAACCCAGAAAACCCAAAACTTTTCCCTGTAAGCAGACATAGATGGGGAATAGACCCCTCTGACCTACCTTAGGGCACATCTTTGTTGACCGGCTTATGTTACCAACTATGGTTTTTGGAGTCAGGCGCACCAGGCTCTTTCTGCATTCTGCAGCCCCAGCAGATATGTGTTATGTTGAACAACTGTGTTTTCTTTTTAGGGAAAAGTAATAGAACCTCTGAAAGACTTCCATAAAGATGAAGTGAGAATTTTAGGCAGAGAACTCGGCCTCCCAGAAGAGCTGGTCTCTAGACATCCATTCCCAGGTAAAGAATGTATTTGGGTCTGGCACAATCTGTTGTGAGATGTTTGTGTCCCGTAACAATCCAGGCACAGAAGGACAAGGAGTCATTTGTCTGTTGGCCCAACCCTTCAGTGCAAATGAGGGGTGGAAGTGGAGGGTCAGGGCCCCTGTGCCTGTGGCCTAGAGCCTGGCTGGGCCCAGTTCATGTGCAGCTCAAGGAAATGGAGCTCCCCTGTCTAAGCAGCCCAAGCACAGCTGTGGATAAAATATTTCATTGTTTTCTTTTTGTGCACTAATTGTATAGACCATGAAGATCTTTATCACTGAATTGGAAAGTGTGTAGAGCAACTTGAATCTTATAGGGCTTTCCGGTTTGCAAACCTCTTTCCCTACGATGCCCTGTGAGGTTGATAGCACATTATTCTCATTTTAGTCCTGAGCAGACTGGGGTCCTTGGTGGTTACCTCCGTTTTGTGGTGAGCTGCTAACCCATTTCTGTGACTCTGTGACCATCCCTAGGCTTATCCACCCCAATATCTGTGTGTTAGGTTTAGGGTAAAGCATGGATTTCTCGTCTACTTGTTTGTTTCCAGGAGAAAGCAGCTCCATTCCGTATTTGCTCTGAAGAATAACCAATGTCTTAGGCAGGTGACCTGATGGAAATGTCGTTTTAATGTAGATGCTTGAATCTTAGTGTCGATGTCTACACCCTTAAAAAAAAAGTGCTTTCCGTAAAAATGCTTTCTTAATATACCAATAGTAGCTTATCCTGGAAAGGCCTTCGGAGTTGAGAGACTGACTTTTGAATTCTAGATCTCCTGCTTACTTGCTGTGTGTGACCTCAGTCAGCCTCAGTTTCCCTATTTGTAAAATGGAATAATAACACTTGTGTTGCAGTTATAGTACAAATAGCCCTGTTTTCCAATATAATAGAGCACCTGGGTTTGAATCCTAGCCCTGCCTCCAGCCATAATACTTTGAGGAAGGGGGAGGTATTGCTAAGTCATGCCCATAGGGATAGCTCAGCTGTTGTTTGACATTTGTGAATGAATGTGCTTCTAATGTGGTTCTGGGAAAACAGTAGAACCCCTTTACACCCGAGTAAGGCTTCTGGAAGTACCTGGAACTGAGCGAGAGGAGGCCCGGGCACTTGGGGCTTGGCTCAGACGCTTCTTCCAGCCCCAAGCAGCCCACTGGAAAGGATGCTGAGCTTGAATCCTGCACCTGCTATGTCTGTGACCTGGTGCACCTCATTTTCCTCATTTTCTCCAAGGTGGGGCAGAGGAACTGGATGGACCCCGAGGCCCTGTTAGCTCTTATTCTGTGCAATTCCACAATCCCGTGACAATCCTACAGTGGCCAACATTTCCTTCCAACGCTGACTTCTGTGACTCGACCTCACAGCTCTGCTCTAAGAAAAAGCTTTTTGTAAAGCTTCAAGAAATCGATAAATGTGCCAGGGTGTTACTACTGTGCCATCCGCCTTGAGGTTTACTCTAGTTGACCTTCCTGATCCAGCCGAAGCTCGTCAGTGCATTTCTCTGTCATGACGCTTACAAATTTGATCTGGTTGGAGAATCTCTTTGTAGTTGGAGAAGGACCATTGTGGTTCATTGGAGCACTTGAAGAGACCTCAGACATGATCTAGTGCAACCCTGTCATTTCACAGATGAGGAAACTGAGGCCTGCAGGTGTTCCATGATATGTCCAGAGTGGTGCAGGTCCTCCTCGCACCACAAATCTGCCCTCTTCCCACTGTAGGAGAAATGGCCAGAAGAACTGTAAATGATTCTGTAGTGGATCCTTCACTTTACCAAAGTGCATGAAGGCCTGGCTGTATTGTGACGGGCCTGAGGCAGGGTTTTTCAGGTGCCATTTTATTTTTTTTAATTTTTAATTTTTTTTTATAAGGCAGTTGGGGTTAAGTGACTTGTCCAGGGTCACACAGCTAGTAAGTGTCAAGTGTTTGGTCTGAGGCCGGATTTGAACTCAGGCCCTCCTGACTTCAGGGCCGGTGCTCTATCCGCTGCGCCACCTAGCTGCCCCAATTCAGGTGCCACTTTAGATGCACATTCCCGAGTGGCCAGAAGTGCGATGTCCCTGATTTCCTGATTTTGCATTGTCTTCATCTCCTTCCAAAAAATATCATCATTTGAAGCGTCTGTACCAAGGGAGCATTCTTCCCCCTAAATCTGCTCTCACAGTTGGCAGATTGAATTATGTGATTAAAGTGAATGAGTGTGCCTTTAGAACAGTGTTTAAAATCCAGAGATTTGTAACTTGTCCTCTTTTATACCACCCAGTTTTGAATGAGCTGACGATAAAGCTGAGGCATAAGCAGCTGCTTGGATACTGATGTTGGGTATTTGTTTGTTTACTGATTGATTGATACTTGAATTGTTACTTTTACCCTGTTCTTTAGGTCCAGGTCTGGCAATAAGAGTAATATGTGCTGAAGAGCCTTATATATGTAAAGACTTTCCTGAAACCAACAACATTTTGAAAATAGTAGCTGATTTTTCTGCAAGTGTTAAAAAGGTAATAATATTTGTGCACAATTTATACATGTTAGTATTTCAAGGGGAGAAACTAGTGATTAAAATAGATAAAAAAAATTCTTGGTTTGATCTTTTTTAATTAGACTTAAAATCACTTAAAAATTTGTATGCCATTAATTTAGAATTTGCAATACTTTTAAGTGTTCTGAGACATATCTTTTAACTGATTGAAAAAAAGAGTTTGCTTTGGAAAACAGCATTGAATGTAGATAGGAAAATCTGTGTTCAGGGAGTTGGAGTGCTAAAATATGTGCCAGTGGCTTCCGAAGGTTTCCCATGGCTCTTCATCAGGAGTAGGAGGCCCTGGGGCAGTACCAGCTGATTGATGTGGCTTCGGGGGCAGGGGCTGATGCAGGGGGCCCTGGCTCTGGGTCTGCCATCGACACCTTCAAGTCCCTGCATCTCCCTCCACAGGAATGGCTCATTTCCTTTGATGAAACAAGGGCCTACACTAACATCTCTTGGGCCTTTTTCCACTCTGAAATGTTATGATCAATCATGTTTCTTTATCATTGAATTTATAATTTGTCATGAATTTAAATTCATATTGATCTGCAAACATTCTTAGTCCAAAAGGCGATTTTTCAGAATGGGAAATGTGGGGCTTTCACTGCCTCATGCCCAATGGAGAAATCCTCCTCTGTGTGTACAAGTTGAGGCTTTCTCAGCTCTTGGATCCTGCAGTCCTTCCTGTGGGAACCATCCAATGCTGAAGCAAAGGGTGATTTCATTATGAAGACAGACTTCCCTGTGACTTTGGTGTTTGTGGAGTGTAGTAAAAAGGAAGCGGTCAGCACAGACTCCCAGACTCAGGAGAGGGTTTTCTTTCTGATTCCTTGGCACTCTCTTTCTGGACTCGCCCTCCTCGTACAGCCACCTCAGGCCACGTGGCCACCTCCCTGCTGGGCCTGCAGGCCCCTCCATCATCCAGCTCTGGGGAGGCATTGCCGGGGCCTGGCCCTGCCTGCTCTCTCCCCCAGCCCTCGGGACCAGGGCCTTCCTAACAAGCTGACCTTCTAGCAGTTTATTCCTAACTAGGCGGAGCGGTGGCATCAGCTCCATGCTTAGCACCTGGCACCAATGGCATGGTGTTGATAAATGCTTATTGATTAGGTAAATTACAGCTAGAAATAAATCTATGGCAGTTAGATCTGTGGAATCCATTTGGCTTGGAAGGACAAATGATATACATAGTTCTTTAATCGCAAATTGTGAACTCTTCATTTCAAGAAAACTGCTGGGCCTCAACTCAGGTCTTTTGTCTTTCTCCATTGTGCTCAGCCCCACACGCTGTTGCAGAGAGTCAAAGCTTGTACGACAGAGGAAGACCAGGAGAAGCTCATGCAGATTACCAGCCTACACTCGCTGAGCGCCTTCCTGCTGCCAATTAAAACTGTGGGAGTGCAGGTGAGTGTTCTCAGGCACGTGCCCTGCATGCCTTGCCCAGCGTGCCCTCGCCTTGCGGCTGCTTCTTCCAGACTTGGATGTTCGTGAGTTTGCTAGATGTGGTGAGAGCCAAGAAAAGTGGGAACTCTGATAAGGTGTCTGGAGCAAATGTAGACGCCGCGTTTGGAACTGCTGGAAGACATTTAGGAAGAAAATAAGTGCTTGGGTTGAGATGGCCTTGGCCTTGGGTCATCTTGAGAGTCCAAGGTGGGAGGGCAGATCTTTTGCACGTTGAGTCAGAGACTCGTCTCCGGTTTGATCCCAGGTGAATGGTGTGCTAGGCCTTTTTTTTGAAAATGAAGGGAGGAGATTTCTTGTGATAGCGTTTAAAAAATATACACATATACACACACACATACACACATTTGTTTATTTACTCATTGATCCACTTATTTATTCATTCATCTCTCTTCATTCATTCATTCATTTATTTATTTTTTGTTTTCAGCATTCACTTCTATAAGATTCTGAGTTCCAAATATTGTCCCCATCTCTCCCCTCCCCCCACCCAAGACAGCATACATTTTTATATAGGCTCTACATATACATTCACAATGAACGTGTATTAGTGATAGCATTTTAACCAAAAAGTATTCAACCTGAAATGTTTGCATAGCCTTTTAAATTCCCTTAGGCTCAAAATGGATGCCAAATCAATGTCTTTTTTTTTTACCCTAAATGGATCCACTTGTGGGGGGAATTTTTAAAGTTTTTCCCCTGCTGAATACATGTGAAGCTTGCTGTTTAGTATGGAAGGGTGACTCTTTACTCAATTACCTTTTAATTAATTTGGGCATATTTGAGATTTTGAAAAAGCAAGTCTTTGGACTGTGTTAATTACATTAAATAGAGAACACTGACTAAACCCCTGACTTTAACAAAAGGCCACAAGCCTTTAGTTTTCTACCAGGGCACTAAAGGGCTGCTGAAGAGAAATTTCCTTTCCTCCTCCCGTACTTAGGGAAGAGCTACCTGGAGCAGCCTTGGATTTAATGCTGAGATTGACCACGATAGCCTTGTGCGGCCCTTCCCGCCCCCCCGCCTGTGCCCCCAGTAGGAGCACTTTTGTTCTGATGAGGTTTGTGAGTAGAGTCTGGAGGTCCACTCACAGCTGTAAGTTTAGATCTTAAAGGCTTTGTCATTTGGTGGGAAGAATTCCCATCAGCGCGACACAGGAAAGTAAAGTCTAAAGTCTGCATGGCCCAAGTGACCATTAAGGAAAGAACTCAGTATCCTTTTGGAGGTTGGAGGGGAGCTTTTTAAAGGGTATTTTTATTAGATCCTGGGAAGGAAAGGTTGGGAACTAATGATAGACAAAGAGAGCTAGATTAATAGTGTACAGTGTTTTTGGAAAGAATCTTCTGTTCTTATGTGCTGCCTGTATATGCCACATTCAGCACCTTGCTGACCCATTTATTAACTGAGGAGCTCTTGAGTTTAGGGGATTTGAGAAGAGGTAGCTGTTAACAAGGGGTTGGGGAGATGGGGGGGGTCCTCTTTCAGAGCCAAGCCAAACATTCTTATTAAAAGGGATTGGAGAATCTCCTTGTATGATGGGAGAGCAGTGAGAAAAAGATCATATTGGACCCTTTGGACTTTGGGCTACAATGGTTATCTAGAAAATAGGAAAAACCTAGGAAATAAAGATGAAGGTGAAGTAACATTTGGTTGGAGGGCAGGGCCCAAGGGTTTAAATTGAATCTAGAATTGTTGCTTCAGGTCCTGGAAACAAATGTTGTTTTTATATATCTAAGAAGAAGCTGTTGACACTTCACAGATTACCATGTTTCCTCAAATTGCATTTTGTGATGTTAGCCTGAAATTTAAGGCAGCTGTCCTCCCATATTACAAAAAGGAAATAAAGGTATGGGACAGCTGTTGTATTTGCAAAATTTGAGTGAGTCAGAAGCAGATGAATTAGCAGTTGTGTGTATTGTTTAGGCGTATTCCTTAAAAGACTTAATAGTGGAGTGTGTTGTGGCTTAGTGTTTGATACCTCTGACCTCTGTAGTGGAGGAGGCGCATGCAAGTGCGTGCCACACGTACCCTTTGTTCCCTGGCACGACCACTCAGGGTGATGGCTTATCTTGCTGTGTGTTTCCAGGGGGACTGCCGCTCCTATAGTTATGTTTGTGGCATCTCCAGTAAAGACGACCCCGACTGGGAATCTCTGATGTTTCTTGCGCGGCTGATCCCACGCATGTGTCACAACATTAACAGGTACGTGTCTGGCATGTTGGGAGGTTTGCTGCTCAGGCTCTGCTCCTGTGGGAGGACAGGACTGATTCAGCAGGGGCATTCGTGGGGAGACATGGCAGAGGACAGCATTTGGGCTTCTTGGTAATGTTGGATCTGAGGTGACGTGAAGAAAACCAACTGGAAGTATCCTGTTGTTCTGTTCGACTAAAGCCTGATTTCTCAGCACTTTATTTTTAAGATCTTTTGTGAAAGGGAAAAAGAGGAAATAAATATTTTTTTAAAATAAGTTATTTGAGAAAAATGTTTTAAACTATTGATAGAATCTAGTGATATTTTTAAACTGCCTTTACTTAGAATTCTTTCCTATGAAGCACTCTTCCCATCTTAGGTAACAATTGTAGCAGCTCCTTAACTTGCCAGGTCCTCGATGTGTTTGGCCTGGTAGTAGAATAGAAACTGCTGTTTTTCTTCTTTTGCTTCAGTCTTCAGGTTTTAAGTAATTATTGAGACAGCAAGTGGAATTTGCCTAAATTAGTAGTAATTCTGAGAAAAATAATTTGAAGACAAAAAAAGTATGCCAGATCTTATAAAAATATTGACTTGCCCTTCAGTCCAGTTTTGGTCCGGAGGTACCAGGTTTTTAAGCTTACCCTTCCTCTCTGGGCTTGATCTGAGGCCGTGGACAAGGCAGGCTCTCCTGAGCAGCTGTGGTAACTAGAACTTCTTTGGCCTCACTTGATCCGCCATCCTCATTTCCTCGTGGGTCTCCGTGGCTAGCAGCATAGAAGGAAAAGGGTGTTTCCTGGCTCCCTTTGCATGGATTTGGCGCTGAAATTTCAGATCAGCTTTGTGACACCAAGCTAAGAATCCCAAACAGGATGATAGCATTTGCGGGCATCACTTGGTACCAGGGAATCCAGCAGTTCAGCAGCTGGAGCACAGGTGTTAGAATCTGTGTCTCGGGGCTGCGTGACTTCGAAATGGGGCAGTGATGAGGCGTATTCTGCAGATGGGCCACTTGATGTAGCGTGTGGGAATGACGGGTTATTGATGGTTAAAGGGCTGGCAAGTGTATGACTGCCGTCAGTGAAGGAGCTTGCTCTGTCAGTTAGAGTAGCTACGCAGAGAAGTCTGGTTGCACTCTCCTGGCTTTTATCAGTCTTCCATGAAGTTCCCTTGTTCTGCTCTTTTCTCCAGTTTTCACTCCATTGTTCATGTTTTCAGCTTCTCTGGGCCTCCTTTTTCACATATAAGATGGAAATAATACTTCTGCCTCGTAGAGTGGTGGTTATGAAGAAGGAACTTGGAGGGAACTTAAAAATGAAGTGTAGAAATGAGTTTTTGTTGGAGCGAGATTTATGTGGCCACTTGCCCTCGGGAGACTGGAGCTGCCCTCTGGGACTAGTACAGCCCCCCGGCTCGTTCTCCTGAACCAAAGTGGTTTCTGTCCCAAACCAGAAGTTCTTGTTAGAAGAAGAAATAAATTGAAGCCAGGATCATGGTACTTATCGTTTTGCTTTCTCTCTGATGTGTACACCCAGTGCCAAAAAACATTGCTTTTAAAAAGGGAGAAATTTGAGGCTATCGAGAATTCCAGTGACCACATTGTTGAACCTGGGGCTCTGCCTGAGAGTGTTCTTGAGGCTCATTCCTCTGGAAGCTGAGGAGGGAGACAATTATGTTCTCAGCATCTACCTCCTCAGAGCCTAGCACTGTGTCTTGCGCAGGATAGATATTTAATAAATGCTTATGGGCTGATGATGTAGTCTTTATTTTCTGCTTCCTCCCACCCTTTCAGCTGAGAAGATAGAGGCTGTCTACTCTGGGTTTCCTCTTTTCACCTTCTCTACTTTTCAGAAGCTCTTGACAGCACCCCCACCCCCATCCCTTCTTCTGTATTCCTCTGCCCCAGTCCTTGCCAGAACCCAGCTCCCTTAGGTGTGCCTTGAGCCAATCCCCTGCAGGCTTTCCCTTGTCAAGCTCTCTCAATTTACAGAGTCGTAACCTGCTGTCTACAAACATAAATTATCCCTTACCTTTTAGAGACCTTCCCAGTGGCCCCCTATGTCCCCATAAGCTGTTCTTCTTTCTCTTTGTAGCCAGACTCATAGAAAACAGCATCTGTGGTCATTCCCTGAACTTTCTCTTTAAACTCTTTGTAATCTAGCTTCCAGCTTCACTCAGATGAAATTACTTTCTCCAGTGTTACTGGCAATCTCTTAATTGCCATCTCTGATGGTCTTTTCTCATCCCACTTGACCTTTTAAACACTCTCTTTTCTTGGATATTCTCTTCCCCTGATTTTAGTCCCACTCATTGTGCGGTAGGAGGATACCAAGGGAAAGAGTGGTCTAGACAGCCCGGAGAGGGGAAAAGATGGCCAGCCGTGTCAGATGCAGCACATAGTTTGAGAAGGATCAGGACTGAGAACAGGCTGTCAGATCATTGGGAACTTGGGGAAAAGCAGGTTTAGTTGAGTGAGGAGGTTGGATGTCAGATGCAGATGGTTGAAGAATGAGAGGTGAGGAAATCGAGGCAGTGGGCCATTAAGAAGGGAAAGATGGAGCGGGGGAAACTTGGGATGTGTTTGAAAGCAATAGTGGTATAACCAGTAGGTGGAGAAAGATTAGGAATGAGTGGGGAGGTTAAGCACTCAGGATGCTGGAGAGAATTAGAGGAACTAGTAGGGGGCACTTAGAGGATTAGGGCTTGGCCTTGGGAAGGGCCACCTCATTATCAGATGTCAGAGCCTGGAGGGCGGTCAGGGAGTGAAAGCTGATTAAAAGGAATTTTGAGGGGAGGAGAAGGGAAAAGGGGAAGTCGAAGGCAGATAATCTTAATTGTCTCAATAGAGGAAGAGGACAAGGTCCTTGGTTGAGGAGGGAGAGGGAAGTGTGGAAGCTTTGAGGAGAGAAGAGGCAGTTTGGACCAGCTTCTGTGGAGAATGGGGCAGGGAATCAATTCTGGAGGGGCAGCCAACAGAGATTAGATGATGCCAGTGTGATAGCCTTTTCCTTTTGCTAGTCAGTTGTTTTGTGTGTTTTGAACTTAATAGGGGAATTTGTCACACACTCAGGAGCTGTGTGACCCTGGACAAGAAGCTTTGTGGGGATCAAGAGAGAAAGGTGGAGTAGTCTGAAAACTAGACATGGGTGACATGGTGCAGATGTAGTGTAGACACTGTGTACATACTTATTGTTGTTGTTATTGTCATGTCTGTAACATGAAGGCAAGGGTTCCTGACACTGCTGTGTGTCACGCCTTCTGTTTAATTAGAAACTTAAGCCTGGCTTCCAGGGAGCAGCCGTTCAGTGTGCTGGCCGGGCTGCCTGCCACGTCTGGGCTTGTGTCTCTGTCCCAGGCTAGCAAAAAGCGCTCAGCTTGTGCTTGTGGATTGAGTGTCTGCCTTACGTGTGGCCACCATTGACCTTCAGGCAGGGCTCTGGCTCAGACCTTAAAAACATTAAGACTAATCATGAAAGTATTTACAGAAATGTTAGTAATAAATCTGTGAAAGCTGTCCTTCCCTACTGTTTACACCAAATGCTTGACCTTTTGTTGTAACCCGTCACTAAGGGCAGTTTTCTTGATGAGCTCTGGCCTTGGATTGGAAGGCCTGTCTTCAAGGCTTGTCTCTAACTTGCAACCCTAGTCAGTTCTCTTCTCTGAGGCACAGTTCTGTCACCTCTAAGGTGAGTATGCAGCAATCCTTATGCCACCTCATACAATTGTTGTCATCCCCAGGAAAGGGAGCATTGTGATCACAGAAGCAGTGCCTGGCAAGTGTTTGATCCTGCATTAATGGGAGATTTTAGGTAGAGGCTCCCAAGAAACACATGAGCAAAGGCAGCGTGCTTCCTTGTACTAAAAGAGGGGCTATTTCTCATTTTTTGACCCCTAGGGTCGTCTTTGTCTTCGGTCCCCCTGTCAAAGAGCCTCCCATGGATGTCACGCCCACCTTCTTAACCACCGGAGTGCTCAGCACACTGCGGCAAGCTGATTTTGAGGCTCACAACATTCTCAGGGAGTCTGGTAAGGTTCCACACAGCCTCAATTACTAGTGCCCTTCCTCACAATTAAATAGAACTACCTTTCACTTATTTTAAGTTATTCTGCGTATGTTTGTTTTGTACATAATTGGGTCTGTGCATCTGCAGCTCCCAGCCCAGTGCCTAGCACACAGGGGTGCCAAATAAACACTTTTGACACTTGAGTGAACAGGCGGCGTGGACCCTGCAAGGGAAGGGTGTTGGCAGAGCGGCGCCCTTCCCTTGTGCTCTCTTGAATTTGCCTTATCTGTCTGATTAGAGTTTTGTTAACATACTCAGAAAGTCTTAATGACTTTAAAGATGATGTGTAAAAGGTTATTTTTGGCAAGGTGGGTTTGTGGTTACTCAGAAAAAAAGTCTGCGTCACCTCAGACTTACTGCTTGCCTTTCCCTAGGGTATGCTGGGAAGATCAGCCAGATGCCAGTCATTTTGACACCGCTGCATTTTGACCGGGACCCTCTTCAGAAGCAGCCATCCTGCCAGAGATCGGTGGTCATCCGCACCTTCATCACAAGCGATTTCATGACTGGTATTGCGGCCACACCTGGCAATGAGATTCCTGTGGAGGTAACTTTATTTTTAAAAATACAAAAAGGGGCTAGTGCCCTAGAACATAGCTGGCTTCTTGGCTTATGGCTGTATTCTAAGTCAGACGATTCTTTTCGGGTCATTTAGTGTTCTGTGGGAGAAGTGGCCTGGCCTGAAGTGCTGACTCATAGAGAGGGACCCCTGGGGCCCAGACAGTAACGTAAGATGCACGTGGCAGCTTGCTCAGAGCCCCCTCTCCCAGTGGCCCATCCACCTCGACCTTCTTTGTTTTACTGTAGGTGGTGCTGAAGATGGTCACCGAGATTAAGAAGATCCCGGGTATTTCTCGAGTTATGTATGACTTAACATCAAAGCCCCCAGGAACTACCGAGTGGGAGTAATAAACGTCCTTTTCAATCCAAGTGCTGTGTGCCGTTGAAATGATCAGAGACGTTGCCAGTGTTGACATGCAGTACTGTGAGGAGGGCAGCTGGGGCTGCTCCTTCCCACCTGGATCCTGTCCTGGAGTGGCAGGTGCCAGGGAAGAGCTGTGTGGGAACCCTGAGGGGGGCTGAGGAATTGTACGGGTAACTAGCCAAGGCCACGGCCTGTGCTCAGACACACTCATCTGACTCTTGCCTTTGTGTTCATGCATTCGTCTTATTGTTGCAGTCACTGACCTGCCTCTTTGTTCTCTAAAGGCGTATCTCTTCTGGGTGACTGTCGGGGTGCTTCCTGTCTCCTGCAGGGGAGGGAGGGGGCTGTTGGAAGCACCTGTGATTGACTGACTGATTCGGTGTAGGGGCACAAGTCTCTGGGGAAATTGAGTTCACAGGTAAATCATCTTGTTGCTTCCTTCCCTGGGGATTCACATATCAAACCTTCCAACTCCTGGAACAGGAGGGTTTTGGAGCTGTAGAAGTTAGGACACTTCGGAATGGGGGAAGCCTTCCTCAGAATGTGACACCATTTTCTAACCCTCTGGGCTAAGGATGGGCCAACAGCCTGGGGAGCTCTTTCTTTTCACTAGTAAGAACTGAGTTGTCTCAGTTCAGATGTACTAGAATCACACAACTTTTTAATGCTAACATTTTTCCTAAAAAATAAAAGAAGGTAATTTGTCTATAGCCTACCTGGTCTCTGAGGCAGGGATGCATATAGCAAAGGGGAGAGGCTGGTGCCATCTTCCTGGGCTGGCTCTTCCTCTCCTCATGTAGGTGTTGTCCTTGTAGGCCTGAGGCATCGACCCAGACGGCCCAGTAGTGATCAGCCCTGTCATTTCTTTCTTTTTTTTTTTTTTTAGGTAATTGGGGTTAAGTGACTTGCCCAGGGTCACACAGCTAGTAAGTGTCAGGTGTTTGGTCTGAGGCCGCATTTGAACTCAGGTCCTCCTGACTTCAGGGCTGGTGCTCTATTCACTGCGCCACCTAGCTGCCCCTGGCCATGTCATTTCCCGAGAAGAGAGACACTCTCGTGTATTCCCTGATTCAGGGTATTGGAAGGCTGAGGAGGTGTGACTTTAATTTGTTGTTCTGTAGGACCTAAAGGAGCAGCTCTAAATCACAGAGACCAACAGGACAGAAAGGTGCCCATGGGCCAACAGCCGCATGTGGGGGGTGGGCTGAGGACTTGGAGGTCCTGGTGAAAACATCTGCCACGTGCGAACCTGCTTTGACCTGCCGTCTGCCTTGTGCTTGTGGTTGAAGGAAAGCATTCTTTACAAACTTTTTATGCCAACTCCAGCTAAAGCTGTAAAAGACAAGTTCCCTAGGACTTCCCCTAACAATGTTAGCAACTTTTAGAGTCCACCAAAATATAAAATAATAGCTTTGCAGTGACCATAGCCAACAGAAGAAAGACTGCATGGTTTTTCCTGGATTGTGAATACTTCATCCTCCCATAAGGCTTTCCTTGTCATTTTCAACTTAGACTATCCTTCAGTTGTGTGGTAACCAGTGGCCTTCACAAGCAAGCCACCTGTCTCTCTCAGGGTCTGAGTTGTTAGCATCTTCCCAGAGAAGTACCAACCTCCACTTAAGGTCTGGGGGACTGGTTAGCATCCTAAAGTCTTCCACCTGGCTGACCCAGAGGACAGTGAAACCCAAGGCCTTAGGCAGACAAAGGAAGAGTTTGCTTCTGCCCGAAGCGGAGAAACTGGAGAGTAATTGGCCTGTGCAAAGTGGGGTCTTTTTTGCCTCTGATTTACCAGACTTCCACTAGCAAGTGTCAGTGTGTCGTAAGTACTTCAGATTTCTGGTTGAGATCCCTTTAAGTGAGCTGGTCTGGTGGTCATGGTGTGTCTTATGTCTCTGAATTGGCCATCGACATCAGTAGTGCCTATTTCTGGAGAAGAGCTGCTGGCTTAGGAATTTGGTATCTTAAGCAAAGATCAAGAATTTCATAACAACCTAACATCCTTGGAAGACAGAAATGCCTAATTAGGTCACGCAGCGTTGATAGAACACGTGAAAACTATTTTCTCCTTTGTTCTTCACAGCAGCCCTGTGAGTTAAGGAGACCCGAGTCTCTGGTGAAGTGACTGCACCTCGGTCACATAGCTCATTATGTGAATAGACCTCAAATTTGTCCTTAGTCTAGTGCTCTCTCGGCTACATGTTGGGTATAGTTACTTAAGTTATGTGAGCTTTCATTCATCTGAATTAAAGAGGAATATTTTTGGAGGACACCTTTTGACTGAGGCAGGTATGTAAGTGTGATGCTTCCCCGCTTACAGATTTAGCATGGGAATGCCTGGGTAAACTGAAACATGAAGTCACACACTAGCCCAATACCTGCCCGAAGGTGTATCCCAAGCAGGCTAAGGGGGTAAAATTAGGAAAATTAAGAATCTCAGCATGGGCATCAGACCACTCCTTGGTGACCAGGAAGATGAAACAAACTTCTGAAATGGTGCAGCCTCACAGGTGGGCCAAGGTGAAGCCCTGTCAAACTTCTGCTGCCTTCTCCAGGACTGTAGTTGATTTTTAGGAGTGGCAGCATGTTAATCAGTTTAGGGCTTTGCTGGAGACCAAATCTTCATCCAGAAGACCAAGCAGCCTCTTTCTTTTCAACTGGAGACCACAGAATAGGAGTTGGGAGGGACCTTATTGGCCATCTAGACCAGCCTTGAAGACCCCTCTGAAGGGGAACCTGCCAGCTTCTGAAAGGAAGGCATCTCCTAGCTCTCCTTGTTTTAAGGTTTTTCTTTGCATCAAGCCTGAAGTTGCCCCCTTGATTGGCAGAACTACTGTCACCAAGTAAACGCCATGGCTAAAGACATAGTGTAGTGTTGCTGAAAGAAGGAATGAAGAGTTAATAAGGAATGCTGGATTAGAAGTTAGGACACCTGGGTTCGAATCTTGCTTCTGACCTTTATTAGCTATGTGACCTTGGGTAAGTTTTTACAGGCTCAGTTCTTCTTTCTCCCCTTCCCCTCCACGCATGCTCCACCTGTTTCCAAATGTCAGGAATTTCTAGAATCTCGAACTTGATCTCCTTTAAGGAAAGCTACGACATCCATTCCCAAGTGATGGGGGGGTGCTTTCGTGGCCCCTTGGGATGAATCTAGGCTGGGTTCAGAGTGGTTTGGTAGGATGCAGAAGAGGGGAGTCATTGTAATATCTTCAGTAGTGGTGAGAGCCAGGTTCTTCCACATGAAATATAGAAGCTAGATCAGGAGAAAGGATGTTGGCCGTGGTGAAGAATAGATGAACTGAAATTTCCAGACGGTGCTTCCAGGTTTTCAAGGCAGAGGACCTCCATTTGAATGCTGCCTTTGGTGTGTGACCTGGAGCCAGTCATCTCTGGGCCAAAAGTCTTGTAAAGCCCATTCCAGCTCCATGGTTTTATCCTAGTATTGGTTTTAATTTGCTAAAATGGGAAATAGCTTGAGGCTGCATGAAAGGTCAGGAAAATCTCTCTCCCCATCCCTTCCAGCTCCATCACTCTACACCAGGAGAACTCTGACAGGTCTGCATGCCAATATCCTGAGATGAGTTAACATTGGGTAGTCTGACTCCATGGCAGCTTGGTGTTAGTCTAGAATGCAACACATAAAACACTATAGTCTTGTCCCTTTGTTACACATAAGAACAAACAGACCCAGACAGGGGAGGTGACCAGGACCCAAGTCTGCTGACTTCTGATCATTGGGCCTTCCATGGCAAGCTTTACTCAACAGCCGCTCTTATCCCTTCTGGTGGGTAAGTCTTGAATGCCGTAGAACGTTGTCTGGAGAGTTTTTCTGTTCCCTCCTATGCCCTAAGAGCTATAGCTCCAAAGTTCTCCTGCCTGGATGTCCCACCTGTCATAACCCAGATGGAGTATGTATGTATATCTGTCTATATGCCTTTAGAGAATATAGGTTACCTAACAGTAAACTGTACATTTTGTGTACCACGTAAAAAGAGGCAGTTTATGTACACTTACCAAGACCATTGTTACAACTTCATAATGGAAAAAAAATGTGACCAACTGCTTTTGAACAGATTTGTTATAAATAAATATTTTGCCAAATGGAATAGTGTAGTAGATGTTGTTGAATTGTGGAAATACTGTGTATTTGTTGGCTGTGTGCTCTTAGTGTTTTCCATGTTGTTCAGGCAATAATGTTGAAATCACAATAACCTGGCTAAAATAATGTGAAATGACTTTCATCTTTCTCTTGCTGTCCACTATCCTCTTGCTTTCCTGGAAGCAACAAAACTGTTTGTATATAAGACTTTCATCCTCTAATTCCTTAAGCTTTGGTGTCTGTGATAAAATGGGAAAGAGGAAGCCAAAGAAGATGCCCTGTTGGCATCCACAAAGAGAGGCTGAAAACACGGGAGACACGTCGTCCGGTGACAGTCTGATTGGCATCCCTCAGATGGAATAGCTTATGTTTGTCATCACATGCCTATGTTATCTCATCAAATCCGTGAGATGCCATGATGAGGTAGCGAGTGCCGATATCATGCCCATTTTACAGGTGGAGAAAGAAGGTGAATCTCTGAGAGGTCAGGTGACTGGGTTAGGCAAGGTTGTGCCATGAGTACGTGGTGGGCCTGGGCCTGGACTCCTGCTCCCTCACTCTTTGTCCTACATTCGAGGATGTTGGACTTTTATCTAGAATGTGAATATTGGACAGAAAGTCGAGTGCTTTTTTTATCCCCATCACCAGCGAAGGATGTGTACTCTTCCTTTCATTTTTCTTTTTTAAATTCCATGAACAAGAAGCCTTCAGATACATATGCAAACCTGCCCTGACCTCTTGCACATGCCTTTTTCTATTGGGCCAGATTTGGTCTCACAGTAGCATCCTGAAGATGTCCTTATCTTTATTGATTTGATTTCCAGGTGGCTGTCTTCATGGCTGGCTATTAATCCATCAAAAGTAAGGGTTTCGATGGTGATTTACTTGCTGCCCTCTAATTACTGAAGG